AAGACTCGATTGTCAAAAGTCGATTCCGACAACACCGACACCCGACAGGGATAAATATTTTATTTTAACATTTATTAACTTTATAGCTACAGTATTAGTTTTGTAATCCCGGTTAACAATTTTTATAGCCAACTTAGAAACTATCTAGTTCAAAACAGCTACGGTGCTGGTGACATAGTTTAGCTTCAGCTCATTGCACAACACAATCTACATTTCAAGATGTCAGACTCAACTCATGAGACAACCGGCGCGCGAATGTCCTGCCAACACGAAATTAATTAAACAATGTCTGTATCAATAAGTCAGACATTTAGATGTATTATTTTTATTTTTAGTACAAAATAAATAACCTAAACACGTCGAAATGTTCAGTTTCCTCCCTGCAATATTCAACAATTAAACTTTAACATCGTCATTGTCGTATGGTTAGGCTTGCTTTATATTGCGCCAAAAAGTAGGTCCATATTTATCTGTACTATCTACCTGATTAAAGAGTTTAGTGAAGTTTTAAGTGCTACTTTGACACAATGCATTTATTGAAAAATATCATAAGCCTTAGTCCATGTAGATTTTGTAATGTTATAACGAATGGTGAATGTTGACAATAAAAGTATGTAACAACAGTTCTCATTGGTCAGGAGGCGACAATGCAATACCATGTCAGCCAATCGACTTTCGTGTTTCAATGGAGCAAATGACGATTGCTTAGACATCGTTTTATTTGCTTATTGTGGGTAAGAAGGGTATCAATAATTTATCGTGATTCGAGATCCAATATGTAGTACGTGTTCGTTTATGCATAATGAGTATTAAAGTATAAAAACAAACTAGGTTAGTTACAGACAGGTTCAAAACATCGACGATTGTTCCGATCCATTTTTGACACTCCTACACGGAAGTTGTAGTGACGTCGTGCATAAGGGCCAGGCAGGCCGGTTCACAGTGAATCCACTCTGCCGAACCTATACTTTTGGTATCATCGGGAACATAGTCAAACACTTTTGTTACTAAATAAAACTATGGCATGTTTTATAAAAGCACTCTTTTGGAGATTCTAGTCCCTAAACATAATCTTTATTGTAGGCTAAAAGTAAAACTTATCTATTGCCATACTTTTCTCCACAGACGTCGACTCATTCTACAATCTCTTTAAAAAATACCAGGTTTCAGTCAAAATACTTTTGTAAAAACTGACAGTGTGCTGTTTAAACACAGTCATTCCTTGACCACGATCGTTTTTACTCACTATAGAGAAAAGACTCTCCATACAAAAAGTATTTATAGGTCAAGGTGTATGTAGTTTTTTTTTAAAGTATAACTGCAATTGCTTTTAAAAATAAATACAAAACACTGTCAAATGACTTAGATTAATACTTGTAGGCCTAAGCCTATTTATAAATTAGAGGAAACTTTATTAGATCTCATCACAGTCAAATTCAAACATTTACAGTGTTTTAAAATAATTAACACTCAGAAACGTTTGTGTAATGGAAATCTGCAAGCGACTGACGCCGAGGGTAAGGGAGGGCATGTGAACCAGGCTTTAGAGCAAACTTTCTCTTTTCCTACCCCATGTCCCATTAGACGGTGAGCGGGGCTTCACACTAAATAAACACTCAGTTCATTCATTCACAGTAGTGAATAATTTTTGTGGCAGTGAGGTATGTCTCTTGTCTGCTCTTCATAGCTAACACGTAGATTTCTTTCGAGAAATTATAGGCTAAGTGATAATCTTGATTAAAAATAAGTGAAAAACTGTTGACATTTTCAAGGAAGAAAATATAAGAAATAAAAGTGTTAAAAATAAAAAGGTTGTTTGATTAGTTATTCTGTATTTCAAAAATATCCTCATTTATGAATTTGTTTTCAGCTAGACTTGGTGACTTTTTCATAGTTAAACAAATTTTGAAGATATATAACTGTTTCTATAAGCCTATTTATAAATTAGAGGAAACTTTATTAAATATCATTGCTTTAGTCAAATTCAAACATTTACAGTAGGCCTATTTTAAAATAAACACTTAGTTCCGTATTTTTGCAATTGTTTTTTGCAATTAATAATAAACCTTTAACACCAAAATATAAGTTTGGTACACATACATATTGTGTTTTTTTATGGTATAACAGTTTATAATATAACAGTTTTTAGTGGAAGAAACTGTGCAAAAAAGATAGGTATCGGTATCGATAGGTATCGAGAGTACTTTGGTGGTATCGGTATCGACAATTTTTGGTATCGGCCCATCTCTAATTTAAATCTTTCGTTTAACTGTGAAATAAAAATATCAACAGCTCTCAAAAATACCGTAACTTTAAAGCATCGTATGCATCTTATGTCTCATTTTCAGTTGTATCTCTTTGCTCGTTAACCATCTGTACTTTTACTTGCAATGCTAGCTTCTTTCTTTTTTGGTTTGTCCAGAGTCTTATTTTTACTCACTATTACAATAGTGACCATTGATTATTATACCATACAAGTATGGCACTATTTATTAATATTATTACATGCCTTGCTATTATGATTTGTATGCATCTTGTTTCTCTTTCAGTATTATTATTATGCCTTTCGCACGTTACCTGATATCCTCTTGCATATTTTTTTTGTAATGCTAGCTTCTTTTGTTCATAGTCCACCTGTTACTAATTTTGTATGTTCTATTCAGTAGTATTACTATCCTTATGGGAATGGGCACACGGGAGGGACTAAGGCTAAAGGTGTAGTGACGTCATATCTCTAGTGTCTAATGTCTTCTCTTGAGGCGACACGATTACCGTTACGAAACGATGTGATTTCAGCGGCGTTCTTGGCATAGTTGGTAGCGTTTTGGATTGGTGCTCAGGAGGTCTCGGGTTCGAATCCCGCTGGAAGCACTAACTTTTTGTCAACAAATTTTTCATATCAGCAAGTTTGGTTGGTTAGGTTAGGTTATGACAGTTTAATTTTATAATACTAAATTTAAAAATTAATTTTATAATAATTAAAATTAATTTTATAACAATTAAAAATTATAAGTAATCATTAATTAGATTTTTATCTTATATAGTTTTTATATTATCAGCAAGTCTGGTTGGTTATGTTATGTTATGACAGTTTAATTTTAAAAATTAAACATTTATTTTATAATTTTCAAACAATATTTTATAATTAAAAATTTATTTTATAACTAAAAATTTAAAACAAATTAATTAAAATTTTTTCAACTTAGCAGTTCTAGCGGCGAACGCTGGCACTACAAGATATGTTAGCCTTAGTCCCTCCCGTGTGCCCAACCGTTTCCTTATGCATCTTGTGTTCACCTATTGTATTATTTAGTATTTATTATTGCTTGTTATCTCCCGTATGTAATGGCATTATTGTACAATGGCTTCTGCCGTGAATAAACGAATTGAATTGAATTGAAGCAATGCACAGGACTGACAGACAAGTGGTCGTGGTTACTAAAATAATAATGAGAGATTTTATCTCTCTATCTTTGTAGCTAACAACAATAATCAAACAAGAGCAGTCTTTTTTTTATAAGAACGCGATAAGCGCAGAAGTGCACAGACGCGCCGTGGAGATTAAGATGATAGTAAACAAAAGAGTCATCAACATTCTGTTGTGACTGTAAAGGAATAAAGTACTGTACCACAAATATTTTTTTACATGTATTTTCGGTAAGCTACATGGAGTTTTGCCTCAGCATATTTTTTTGATAAAAATTTTCCAGAGTATCAGATTTTGCATCTCCCTAAGGCCTGTGCCCCAATGCACTGCATTGGTTGCATTGGCGTTATTTACGCCAACTGAATAAACTGAATATTTAATTTACAAACTACCATTTTTATGGGTGTTTTCCATGTTAAATTCTTATCGATGTAAAAGCCCAAAAATGTTGCATTTTCAGTAAAGGATATAATATTATTAACATAAGATAGTGCAACAGTGGAATTTTGCATATTCTAAATATTTGAAATAACATCACCTGTGTTTTAGAACTATTAAGGTTTAACCCATTGGCTGTAAATCAATTATATAAATTAAGAGTGGGAAGACTTGAGGTCTTGTTTAAGATTCTGCAAATTATTTGATTTTACTATTGACGTAGTGTCATCAGCATATAGGATAAAGTTTGACAATACTTTTCGAGGTAAATCATTAATAAATATTAAAAATAGCAAGGGGCCTAATATTAAACCTTGCGGAACCCCACATTTAGTGTTAAGCCACTGTGAAATACATTTTTAAGATTTTTTTTAGATTGTTGTTCTTTGATGTCTGTTGGTTAAATATGAATGCATCCAAGTCATTGCCAAATCAGAAAATTTATAATATTTAAGTTTACTCATTAATATATCGTAGTTTACACATTCAAATGCCTTGGATAGATCAAAGAACACCACCGCTGTGCTCTGTGACCCATCCAAGCCATCTGACACCTGATTTATGAAATGTTAGACAGCAGATAGTGTTTTTTTCCCAAATTTAAGACCAAATTGTTTATTGGTAAATAAATTATAAGCTTTGAGTCTATAACTCAAGCAATATGGAACATTCATTGTAGGCCTAGATGTACACATTCTTATGCAAACAAAAAACTCAGTGAACATTTTAAGCCTACCTAAACCGGTTTTCGTTGTCTCAATTTAATTTAATAAATTATGTTAAAATGTATGTCTTCTTGAAGTATCTTATTTTTCCTTATAGGCTAACCTAAATAATCTATGTAACCTTATTCAATAGCAATGCAGTTATCTTATTGTAAAAAGAGTAAATAAAAATAACATGCTCCTTTATTTATAGGGATAGGGAGAAGCAAACATAAGTTATAAGGGTTATTAAATGAATTTTTAACAGGTATCGGTATCAAGTGCAAAATCGTGAATCGAAACCAAAGTTGTAGAATCGGAATCGACCAATTCAGGAATCGGCCCATCACTAAGAAGATTTCATTAAAACTTGAACTGGCAACAATGTTTTCTGTACTTGAGAAGCCAATACTATTATTAAAAATACTCACTAATAAGGAAAAACATCCTTCCCCAAGACGATAATAGGCATGAGGATTGTTGGGAGAGTATTGAATCACCTTCTTGGCATCTCTAACAGATCTGAAATAAAATATTTATAATATATTGAATTTTAAAGAAGAAAAAAATGTAATTCAGTAGTTATAAAATAAGACATATAGGTATCACAAGATTTTTAATTTTCTTTATATTTCAGCTATAAAAAACATCAATGGTTTATAGGTCTACATTCTTTATACATTCTTTCAATGGTTTGAACGGGATTGAATTTTGAGTTTGGAACAGGACAGGATGGGATTTTTTCTATGTGCAAAATAGGCTTTTTAAAAAAATCTTGAGTAAGCTTTTTAGATATTAACACGTTGACCGCGCGTGCCGACTTTAGTCGGCGTCGCCAGCGCTCCCAGGTGGCGCGCGCCGACTAAAGTCGGCACCAGACCAACAGAAATATATTGAGTCAGTGTGAGCTTAGCCTCAGACGGAGACGTTATAATTGTTGCTAGCCTGCCAGCTTAGAATGCGAGCTTTACTTTGGTGTAGGTTGGTACTAAAATTTCCCGTAAAGTCCTGTCTGGCAATGCTTTTGTCCCGGTTTCGGGGATTTTTTCTCTTCAACCCACATTACAAAGACACTGGATACGGATCCGTGCAGTGCTGCTACCTTTGGGTGTTTCAGTGAACTACATCCACTCTCGGGGTAACGCAGCACAGTCACCACTGCTCTTTTGTGATTCGTCAGACTGAAATATTTGAATGCCAATTGCGTTCGCTGATTCGGTTGCGCGCCGGGGCTCCGCCCGCCACTGGGGAGCGCCTGTAAAGTCGGCGCGCGCAGTCAACGTGTTAAACATGACAAACATATCATGACAAATAAAATCAATTGTCTGCCTTTGTGGGACTGATTTACAAAAACCAACATTAAGTAAAAATGCACAGATAATGCTAAAACCTTACCACAAATTTTCAAATTGGCTACAATTTAATTGTGCATCATCAGTCACATTATAAAACCACAAACAGGTAGTTAAACAGACTATTATTTCATATTTTAAACTGTGTAGAGTTTTAAGGACCACGTTCGTGACATCATCCTGGACATGTCTCACGGTCACGGCGCCATTGTCAATATGACTTGCGGTCACAGCAGAATCACCAACATGACTCGCGTTAGGGCGCAATCATGAACTTGTCTTGCGGTCAACGCGTCTTTGTTGACATGTCCTGTATTCACGTCACCTGCCGACATGTCCTGCGTTCACGGCACCATCGCCGAATTACATTACTAGCAGAGTACCCGTCCTTCGTACGGGGTTGGAATATAGTATAAAATGCTTATTGCAGTTATACTCAAGCTTTGCGTTTGCAATTAGGGAGGACACAGTTTGATAAAATTTGTTTTTTTTTAATTTACAGTATTCTATAGTATTACACATCTACCATAACCATAATGTTCTACCACTTCACCTAAACAATAGGGAAACATAAATTATCAACAATTCGCAAAATATCACAAATTATTCATGACATGAAAAACATAAACATAACTGTAAACAATCCTACTTTGACAGTTCTCATTGCAAATCACAGTTTTTTGTTGCTGCTTGGTTTATGCGTGATTGAACTTCAAACACACAAACAAACAAACAAACAAAAACACAAACTATCACATTTATAATATTAGTAAGATAAGATTATTTACAGAACTTCAGTCTAATATTTATTTTTATTTTTGTATCTGTTGAGCGGAGCGAGCGAAGCTCTTATACGTCGACTCTTATGCATTTCGTAATACGCAAACTCCACCTAGACGGCTGAATCAATCGTTTTGAAATTTTGCATGGTGATAAAGTCCATATCGGTGAGTGCCAACATCTATATAGCGTTAAAAAAGTCTCTCAGGGATTCGCCCCACTGGGTCTCAAAGTTTCAATGTAATCCTTATGGAAGCAGTATTTGACACATAAACAAAGACATATGATCAGCTGTTGACTTTTGAATGCGGTAGATAAAGAAATAGCAGATAGCATTATTTCACAGATATTAGAAAATAAACGGTATGGATCATAAATATAATCAAATGACGGCACTAGCTTGAGGTCCGTGACGTAGGAAGTGGTGAAGAAAGTAGTAAAGGAGAGGAAAGTAGGAGTAGTAGTAGGACTGCTCGTCTGGAGTGTGGAAACTGTTTATGACGATTAGATTTAGGTATCTGCATTCCTAAAATTCTATGGGAAGGGAGGAAGGGAGGAATGTGTCCGCGACGTAGGAAGTGGTGAAGGAAGTAGTCAAGGCGAGCTGTCCGGAGTGTGGGAACTGTTTATGACGATTAGATTAAGGTATCTGCAATCCTAAAATGCTATTGGAAGGGAAGGAAACAGGTCCGCGACGTAGGAAGTGGTGAAGGAAGTAGTAAAGGCGAGCTGTTCGGGGTATGGGATCTGTTTATGAACATTAGATTAAGGTATTTGCAATCGTATGATGCTATGGGAAGGAAGGGAAACAGGTCCGTGAGGTAGGAAGTAGTGAAGGAAGTAGTAATGGCAAGCAGTCCGGACTGTGGGAACTTTTTATGAAGATTAGGTTAAGGTATCTGCACTCCTAAAATGCTTTGGGAAGGGAGGGAAACAGGTCCGTGACGTAGGAAGTGGTGAAGGAAGTAGTAAATGCAAGCAGTCCGGAGTGTGGGAACGTTTTATGACGATTAGATTAAGGGATCTGCAATCCTAAAATGCTATGGGAAGGGAGGGTAACAGGTCCGAGACGTAGGAAGTGGCGAAGGAAGTAGTCAAAGCGAGCTGTCCGGAGTGTGGGAACTGTTTATGACAATTAGATTAAGGTATATACAATCTTAAAATTCTATGGTAAGAGAGGGAAACAGGTCCGCGACGTGAGAAGATGTGACGGAAGTAGTAAGGTGAGCAGTGTGGAGTGTGGGAACTGGAAACCGTTTGTAGCGGTTAGATTAATGTATCTGCAATGCTGAAATGCTATGAGAAGGGATGGAAGCATCCCCTCGACATAGAAAATGGTAAAGTAAAGGCTAGCAGTGCGGAGTGTGGGGAATGAAGTTTTTATGACGATTAGATTAAGGTATCTGCAACCCTAAAATACTAAGGGAAGGGAGGGAAACAGGTCCGTGACGTAGGAAGTGGTGAAGGAAGTAGTAAATGCGAGCAGTCCGGAGTGTGGGAAATGTTTATGACGATTAGATTAAGGGATCTGCAATCCTAAAATGCTATGGCAGGGTGTCTACTACATTCTGGATAAAAAATTCATGGACAATTCCCGTACATTTAAGGACACTTTGCCGTAACCTTTGTCGGTGTCATTAGGTCTACCGAATAATTTTCCTGATTTGTCAAACTGTATTAATCTTGTTATTCACTGTAGTTGTACCAGAGAGAAAAGTAAATAATAATAGATAAGAGTTAAAAATTACAAAATAGAAATTTATTGAAAGTAAACAAATATAGGCCTACCTACACTTTAGGTAAAGCTTTTAGTGTAGCAGAGAAACGCAATCATTGTCTCCTGCGATAGCAACAAATATCTCCATCCGTCACGTAAACTTCATAACATAGCTTATTCGATCCAGGCGGATTAATTTGGCATGATTCGCCCTGGCACAACGTTAGGTTCTCGACTACTTTTGTAAAAAAATCTTTAATGCATATTGTTACTCAATTCTTAGTACAAAATCAAGGTATGGTAAGCGGCTATTAATAAGCAATAAGCACAGAGTAAGATTATTGTATTTTCATTTGTAAAGTTAATATCGACACATAGCAATCATTAGTTGTTTATCTTATAGGCTCAATTACATTTTCTTAATATATTTTACAGCTCTTTCAAGAATCAAAATACCCAGGCCTAAACCTAATTATTTAGGAGGGCCTATATAAACTGAGTAACAAACAATGAGGTTATAATAGCAGCAAAGTTACTATCATAATTCTAGTTCACAAGATTTTGATTGCTTAAAGCATACAACTCAATAAATAAATATATGGGAAACAAAAAACATTGAAACCTGAATAGCCAACAATATAAGACAAAGATACAGAAAATGCAATGACATAATTTGAAACCAAGCAGGCCTACATAGTGATAAAACATTAATGCAAACAACAATGCTTGTGGTTTTGTCAATTGAAAGATAAAATGTCCATAAAAAAGGGGTTAACTTACAAAATAAGACTGTAGATTATTTACATGTTTAATATGAAACCATAAACAATTTTATGGCACTAGGCACTGGCCGCGGCAAATTGAATCTTCAAGCCGAAAGTACAAGTAAGAAGTGAAATTTAACAGCCATTATAAAGCTATTATTTTCACGATAAAATAGGTTTGGGATCTAATAATAATTACCCTAGTAATAAAAAAAGAAGTTGTAAAGGAATAAAAGTGATACAACTTTTATGAGCTAGCTGCTGAGACCACAGTTCTTGGAAGTACTTGACTTGACACTTGATTGTCGTGATAAAATATTAATGGGTTTGAGATTGTTAATGGGATTTTTATTGCATAATTACTCTAGTAATAAATTATGAAAATGTAAACAAACATCTGATAAACCTTTTATGTGCTCCTAACCAACTAGCGATCAATAAAATTATGGCCCATTAAAAGTTTAAGGACATTGTCTGGCATTTAAGGACAATTCCCGTACATTTCATGGCCAGTAAAAATTTAAGTACAATTCCCGGTTTTCCCGGATTTCCCGGTTGGTAGACACTCTGTATGGGAAGAGAGGGAAACCAGTCCACAACGTGGTGAAGGAAGTAGTAAATGTGAGCAGTGTTGAGTGTGGGAATGGATTAATGTATCTGCAATGCTAAAATGCTATGGGAAGAGACTGTAGGTTAAAATGATTACGAAGCACGAATCGATACATATTTCGATACATGCAATTGTTTACAATAGAAATTTACAACTGAGTTGACAACAGCCGATTTTTACTCCATAGAGGCTAAAAACGATTTTTACTCCCTAAAGAGTAAAAATGCTACTTTAGACCCGCAACGCATGCATTAAAAATGACTGTTTTTACTGCAGTATGACAAAAACAATATAATATGAACCCCTTGATGACTCCGCTCAATTTTGTGGATGCCTCTGCGAACGCCACCTAGTATTTTAAATGTGTGTTTGGGTTTGCATGTGTTTAACTGTGGTGACAACTGACAAAGGACTGAGTTCTCCTGTTTTTAAAAAGGTGAGTGATGACCAAAATTATCTATGTAAATGAATTGATACCTCACCTGAAAATACTATGTCGTTTAAAAAGGAAAAAATTTACTAAATAATAACCCTAAATCATACAGTTAAAAGCATTTATAGTTGAAATATACTTACTTTTCAAATTTAGCCAGCTGAAAATAATAAAAACTGCGTTTTAAAATTAGTTCTATACTTTCAGGTTTTAAAGTAATCGCCTCAGATAAATACTGTACGGCTTCTTTAAAACACTGGCTGTTTTCGTATTCTTGAGCTTTATTTATTAAGAAATCTATGTCTTTCGCTTCTTTTTTAACTTTTTGATCATCAGGTATATTTTTTATATTTTTAACCTTTTTAACAGCTTTACTGACAAAAGCTGCATTGATATCTAGTCCTTCTCCATTATTCCTGAAAAAATTAACAAACATTACATGACAACCCATATGCATTTTGATAATTACTGCACAAAAAATCCAATTCATACACAATCAGATTAGTATCTAGGCCTTGGGTGAGCGAGCTGGTCTAGTAATTAGGTCAAATCCCACCAAGTCACCGATAGATGTTATCTAAGTGATAATGCCGCACTCCCTGAGGTCAACCCTGAAGTAATGTGAAAAACAATTACGGGCTCGTGCCTAGCGTCCTCGGACGACAAAAAAAAGTATCTAGGCCTTAGTTATGCCTATTTTATAATATTTCAGAGGTATGACAAGAGAGATACACACAAGGAGAATATTGGGAATTATTTTTAAAAATTTCATATCATTTTAAGAAACTTGACTTTGTAGGAACACAACTTGTATACAACATAAGTATAATTATATTATTATTAAACTTACTGTTCTAAGGCAAATGCATTATTGAAATTTTCAGAATCATCTGGTACTTTATTTGTAACATTGTCATTGTAATTGGTATTGACTGTTGTATCCTTCTCTTTGGCTAGCATTTTTTTCAATTTTTGTCTTTCTTTTTTAGCTTTTTTCTTTTCTGCTTTCATTTTGGCTTCCTCTTCTTCTTTAATTAATTCCTCAGCGTTTTTCTGGGCAATTTCATAGTAGTTATTTTTCTTACCTTGAAATCTTTCACAAGGCAGAACTTCTATTTCTGAAAGAAAAATAAAAAAAAACTTAACCAACACTTGTTTGTTACATGAAACACACCGATGAACCAGAAATAGTGAGGGCTTCAGCTAACATCCTCGTTAGTCGTTTGTAGGAATATCCAGCTTGTAGGTTGTTCTTGGGACATGGGAAATTTAATAGAAAAGTATAAAGATAACCGGTCAATAGGTTTTTCCCACACAATATCTAACGACTTTGAAAACAATCGCCACATGTCTGCGGGAGTGGCCGTGGTTTTCAGGAGAAAGTTTGGACGGCCGCAACGAATTGACTGCAAAAAAACAGTAATGGGGCCACAGTGTATAGCCTGATTACCAAGGCTGAATATTCGGGGAAACCAGATAGAAAAGATTACGATGAAGCTTTCAATCAATTAAAAGATTTTTTGAAAAAAGAACTAAAAACTCTCATCTGCTCACCAATGGGATGCATAAGAGACCTCATCTTGCCAGAAAACTTTGCCAAAAGGATTGTGGACTTCCATCGTGCTACTGGTGCTACTATCTGCATTGTAACCTCTGATCAACCTACAGCAAAGAGAGTTCTGAGGCGTGGGCTTTCCCAAGAGGAGTTTGTAACACAGTTGATAAAGCTGATCACCACCGAAGAATTTTCAACCCCTCCACAGACAGACATCACAACCGAACTATCTCCAGACATCACCCAACCAGATGATTCTCTTGTTATCGTTTCAGCAGATGAGCCCTTTGTCACCATTTCACCAGATGAGTCTCCTTTAAACTTTAAATTACGAATCAGACCCAAGATAAATGAAATTAGTTCAAATATCAGATTGTTTCATCAGAATATCCAAAATTTATCTACTCGTATTGAACAACCAGAAGTTATTTTAACAGAATTAGATCCACACATAATCATTTTAACCGAACATAAAATGAATGGAACTGAATTAGAACGTTTTAATCTAGAAAATTACTCTCCTGGTCACACAATACTCCCGCAGCACAACAACCGGTGGGGGTACTGCAATCTTATGCAAAGAGAGTTTGAAGGGGAAACAGCTGGTTTCTGATGAAATCGAAGTACTATGTCGGGATAAACTGTTTGAGTGTTGCTGTTGTACTTTTTAGTCAGGCAGCATCAGCTTCACATTGGTGGGAATATATAGAACACCACAATTACATAATTCAGAGTTTTTAATCCATTTGAATTCTCTTATTAAAATTCTGTTACATAAAAATAAATTTTTAATCATAATGGGAGATTTTAACATAAATATGCTTGTTGTATCACCTGAATTAAAGGAGTTAAAGAATATTCTTACACGACATGGTATGGATTATTTGATAGATTTTCCAACTCGAGTCACAGATACCTCTAAAACCTGTAATGTTTTAACAAATTTTCATAAAGAAACCATAAAAGTAGAGGGTGTAATAACTGCTTTATCCGATCACGATGGGCAAATTATAGAACTATTATTATTACCTAACAGAATAAATCCTCCAAGCATTCACTTTCGGGGAAGAAGTTTTTCAGTTGATAATATGCTATTATTTAAATCACTCTTGGCGAATGAAAACTGGATATCACTCTATAACTCGCGAATTGAAGACAAAAAACTTCCATATAAATACAAATATGCAAATATACAAATATTGGTGACAAATATAAAACTTCCATAATATATTTCACTACTATTTTGATTTATCATTTCCGGTTATTCAGAAAAATATCACAAAAAATACAAACAATTGGATTACAAATGAATTAAAAGAAGAAAAAATAATCTTATTGGACTTAATAAAGTGGCAAGATCATCTGGCTCAGAAATCCTAAAAGCTGAATTTAAGGGAAAAATCGACAATATAAATTTAATCTATTAAAGTTAAAAAGGGACTATTATGACAATAAAATTAAAAACTCTGAAAATGTAAGTAAAGCCTCATGGGAAATCATAAATAAAGAAACACAAAAAAAAATACAAAGAGAATAAAAATTATTATACTTTAAGGTCAGATAATGGTGAAATTACAAATCCCAGGGAAGTAGTCAATAGTTTTAACAATTATTTTGTAACTATAATAGATGACTAGATGATATGGTAAAAGACATGACACCGACAAAGGATGGTTGTCATGATAATGATAATGGTTTTGATAATCATATTCCAAATTTTAGATGTCCGCCAATGGAAGAAAAAGAGCTAATTGCCATTTTTGATTCACTCAAAAATAAGTGGTCTAGTGGCTATGATGGGGTACCAGTTAAAGTAATAAAATTTAATAGGGGTGTGCGAAGCAGCAAAAAATTTTCGATTCGAAGCAACGATTCGATTCAAAAGATTTTCGATTCGATTCGATGCAACTCGATTCGAAGCAATACGGTATTTTTCTATTCATAATTGTCAATTGAGTGGATTAACAATAATTAAAATTTATCACATTTGTGTAATACAAATTTTTGTTGATGTGGTATTAGGCCTATTCATACTTACATATGAATTTTAGGTGAAAAAATATTTATTTTCAATCATATGTATTAGAATAACTGCTGGAAATACCAGTGAGCTGCTTTACTTGCCTATTTCATAATTTTTACTTGGAATTGGCTCAACTGCAAGAAAGGAGAAAATATTTTTTTTATCAAGACACTCATTCTCATTTTAATAACTGTTTAAATAACTAAATAGGTACCGGTAGCTAAATTACAACAAATTTGAATGGAACTTAATATAAAAAGACCATTAAGAAATAAATTTACATATCACAAGTTTAGGGCCCGTGGACCGGCTTCAGGACTGCAAGCAAGAAGAAAATAAAAATAATATGTTTCCACCATGCAACATGTATCATTCATTCCCTGCCTCCTAACCTCCTTAGTATAATAACCTCACACTTACATTATTTGTTACATCATCATAAATAAAGAATTATTATTGGCATCAGTAGGCCTACAGCTTTACATAGGCATTATTTTTATAGGGCCTAAAATAGTAATAGGCTGGAAGCAACATGTCAAGTAGAGAACTCATTGAAGAAAAGATATTGTGTAAACTAATTTCCTATAAAACTCAAAAACAGTAAATAACATACAAACATTGTTTATGGTATAATTAATAAGGACTAAAAAATGCATATAATGTCATACAGTAGTATAGACCTACCGGTACTGCAAGAGATTAAAATCCTAAAACAACTGATTTTGATAGCTAATGAATGAAAAGAATTAAAAATCCATAAAATGAAGCTAAACAATATCACAACTAATTAGGTACCCGAAAAGTAACTCTTAAATAATATATAGAAGATTAAAATAATATTAAATCAAGAGACAAGAAAGTTAAATGCTATCTTCTAGTGCCCTTGGCAACACAGGTCAATGTTTTTAAACTACCCTCAATGTTTTTGGAACAGCAGGGCCTTTTTCTCTTAAGGAAGGGTAGTAGTATGTCAACAAAAACAATGAATCAGTCTCACCAGCCAGGCCCGGGCAACGATGTGTGAATTCAAGGTCATAGACCCTCCCCCTCCCCTCTTACACCACCCGGTTGCTACCCAGTTGCTTCAATTGCTGACAAAATGCAAGTGATGAAACAAGGAAGTAGAGACAAAGAAATATATTTCTTTATTCAAAAACACAAAACTGTTAGAGATTATTTTCAAAGAAATTAATTCAATGTAATTTGTGAGTTGTATATATTGTATTGGATCTTAGAAATATATTTTTTTAACACTATTTAACCAAGATACAGATCTGTTCACTATATCAGATATTTCTTTTGTTTATAATTTATTATGTAAAATACTAAATATATTTTTAATTAGGTATTGAATGAACAATAAATGATTATACTAATATGTCTGGATAAATAGTCTTTCTATTCTTTTGACTCTGTTTTCTTTGCACTGTTAGTGTTGCGTCACGGCTTTTGTCTTGTTACTCTTATCAGTAGACGACTAGACCTGGCTCTGGCTAGTGGCAGTGCGGCAATTGCTCTGTTGTGTCTTTATTCTTAAAGGTCGTGAGCCAACTTAATTTTTAATTCTCATTTGAACATTTTAATTCCTCTGTAATAGATATAATAATATAAGAGTGTTTCTTTGGAAATAAATTATTCTTTTTTTTCTTTTGCCCCAACAAAAATTCGGGGACGGGGACCGACAGACACCTAACAAAAATACCAAATGTATCAGTCTATAACATTGATCTTACTAGTTAAGTATTAAGTAACAATTTTTCAGACTTATTTTTAAAATGATTTTGGAGTAACCTACCTTGTTTTGGCTAGGTTCACAGTAGTAAAATATTTCACACACTGCTTACATCAAGACAAAAAACAAAACCTCTAATCATTTGCAATGTCAAAACAAAAAAATATAAAACAATTAAAGCTATATTTAATGCAAAGAATGTATTAAATAAGAACGCCTTCGTAAAGGAAACGCAACAGCAACGCGCTCCTGTATAGCGGGTATTGCATTGACTTTCTGCAGGCGTTTTTCGTATATGGATACTGACTCCCTCGTGAATCGAATCGTTTTTTGACCACCACTGAATCGAATCGCGATTCGATGCATCGAATCGAATCGAAATTTCGATGCATTTTCGATGCATCGCACACCCCTAAAATTTATTAGGGATCCACTCATCAAGCCTTAAGTTCATTTAGTCAACGCTTCGTTCATTTCAGGAATTTTTCCAGAGCAACTCAAAATTTCAAAAGTGGTACCAGTCTTGAAAAAGGGAGATGACACAGAAATTCAAAATTATCGTCCTATTTTTATTTTACCTTCGATATCAAAAATTTTTGAAAAAGCCATGTATTTAAGATTGGTAAAACATTTGAACGATAATAATCTCTTTTTCCCAGAACAACATGGTTTTAGACAGGACAAATCTGTCAATACCGCTCTAATTACTTTCATTGAGTCAGTAATTGAATCAATGGATGAGAAAAACATAGTAACTGGAATTTTTATGGATTTATCTAAAGCCTTTGACAGCATATCCCATACCAAA